ATGAAATGGGTTAACAAGCTGGCCATAACCTTGTGGAAGGATCTGGATACCTGCTGCTGCTAAGCTAACAAAGTTATAGCTAGCCTAGACGTCAATACTATCAGAGATCCCAGAAGGATAAATAAAGTATACCTGAGTATACTTCCGAATCTATTAAGAATGACAGGGACCAGAGTCCATACACAGTTAGCCATACCCAGGTCTCCACAGCATTGGAGGCAGAAGTATCAGGACAGCAGTCTTACAGTCTTAGCCAGGCCCGTGAGGTGATTTTTTTTCCCCCTGTGGAAGAGGAACATGAAAAAGACAGGCCTTATTTTGTCTAGGTAAAAGTGGTACAATCAATTTGCCAGGGTTCTGCTGTTTGTCCACAGTCTAGGCCGGGTCCTGGCAGCAGGTATTGCACTGGGGCAGCTTGACCAGTGGTCAGCATCGTCATAATCCAGAAACATCATGTTGTCCCATAATCTTCTTTGGAGACCTTGGGTCACTGCTAGGATCTCGGAGTCTCTGTCTAATATATAAGTGGCCGGCTGAAGGCTCTACAGGGTGGTGGTTCTGGTGCACATGCAGATCTCAGAGAGCCCCCAAATGTTATGCCCAGACCACAGAGTGCCCCCAAACTAAGTAGGAGACTGAATTCTATATATAAAAGCAAAGAGTCTTTATTCTTACACAGGTTTGCAGATTCGAACTCTCCATTTGCCCAATGTATTGGAGTGATCAAAGAGCCCCAAGCTCAGTTAGCATTAGGTTTTTATAGTAGCAAAGGTGGGTGAGGGATTTCTAAGGTTGGTATTAATGATTCTTACAAGCTCTCTGCCCCCTCTTCCTCCATGTGCCCTGAGCCATAGATCTACATCTATGGCTGTTATGTAGATGCATTTTTTGGGCCTGGGTTCCCCATGAACTGTTGATCTCTGCATTGTACACAGCTATGGTTTTCTGTGCTGGTCTCCATTTGCTGGAAAGAGAGACTCTTTTGTTGAGGGGTGGTAACTCCACTTCTCCAGGAAAGGTGGTTCACACGCCCAGCTTTAACATTCTACATTGTCAATCTCTTTGACTCTTTTTGTTATTCCTTTTTAAAAGATTGTATTGTTATGAATGTCAATGGGTATTTATAAAGTTAGACATTATAAAAACTATAAAGAATAAAATCACAAAGATACATTCTATAGCACAAAGAAATTGCTAGTAAGGTTTCAAATGCTTTTTAAGTAAAACCTGTTCAAGTTTTTTTTTTTCTTTTCCTACATATTTGCTTATTATCCTAAGTGCTCAAGCAAATCTTTGGGGTAATTTCCTGTAACAGGAACCATTTGTACTTACATTCATTCATCCTTCCTGTCAAAGTATTATTTTATATTACTTTATTTACTAGTGCTATAGCAACTGCTAAGTACTTATTGTGTATTTCAGAAACTACCTACATGCTAGTGTAAGCAAAACTATACCTGACTCCCACTTGGGCTGGGGGAAAAAAAGCACAACAATCATGTGCCCATCGTTGTATAGTTCGAAGTTTGTTACATGCTGTGGATGGAAATCTAGGTAACTCAACGAGCGCATTACAAGAGCCTGACCTGAGTTTGAAATATTTTTAAGATTTTCAGATAGTGACAGCAAATAATAGTTGCTTACATGCATGTCAAATCAGGGAAGCCTAGACTTAACAACCATCCAACAACAAATGGTAAGAGAAATAAACCTATGGGCTTTTAAGATTTCTAAGGGAAGAGAGTTTGCAGCACAGAACCCCGCCCGGCCACTCCAGAATGGCCATGTATAGGAAGATGAGCCAAAGAAGTGATCCTGAAACCCAGCAAGGCCAGCCAAGTAAGAGAAGAGCCCAGACAGGGCTGGTGTCCTAGCACTAGGAGAGACACACCTTCCCAAGGATCTTGGGTTATTCAGTAAAGACGTTGGTGACTTTATGAAAAGCTGCAAGAATCGGAAGCACCTGGAAGTGATGGTAAAGCACAGTGGTTCTAAAGAGGAGTAGATCCAAGCATGTGTTACTTTAGTGGAGAGAAAAGGGCTCGCTTATTTCTCCTTCCGTCTGCTTATGTGTCAGGTAGTACAATGGGATTGAGATGTTAGGGCTGAGAGCAGTATCCCATGCCGAGGTCTATCAGGGCACTTGTTCAAAGTTGCTTTGTGGGCCACCATATTTGATGACCGTCACTTCTCTCCGAACTGTAGCGGACTCGGCAGTTTCATGGAATCACACCTCGATTACAGACTAATGTTAATCTACATTACTTTGACCTGATTCAGAACATTGTGTCATTATGGGGCTTTTTGATCTCCTGGAGCAGGCAATTTCAGAGCAGCCAACTCCTTTTTCTAGCAGAACGTTTTAATGGTTCGAGAATTTCACACATGCGTGCAATGTATCACAATTAAGTCCCCCATTCTCTCCTCTCTAATTCTTCTCCTCTGGCCTCCCTCACTTTACTTCCTGTCTTAGACACTGTTCTATTGCTGTGAAAAGATGCCATGACCAAGGTGACTCTTGTAACAGAAAACACTCCGTGGGGAGCTTGTTTACAGTTGCAGAGGTTAGTCATTATCATTGCAGCAGAAGGCGTGCAAGCAGGCAGGCAGAGGTATTCATGGAGATTTGGTGAGAGTTCTGCATCCAGATCTACAGGCAGCAGGGAGAGGCTCTTGGCTTAGAATGGGCTTTGGAAACCTCAAAGTTCACCCCCAGTGACATGCTTCCTCCAACAAGGCCACACCTCCTAACCTTATACTTCTTTCAAATGGTTATATTCTCTGGTGACTAAAGATTCTAATATATGAACCCAATGGGGTCATTTTCTTCAAACCCCCACACCTCTCAACTTTATGTTTTCTTCTTAAGTCCAAAGTGCTATATGTATGTACAAGGATGTAGGACCATGGAGTGGAGCATGGATAGCCAAATCCCTGTAGAAAATCAGCTATCCCCCTTCCAGCCACCATCAATTATCAATAGCTAATTGTCATCTTAACTGTCATCCTCAGGTCTCTATCTTTCTCACATGAAAGCAAAGCAAAGGATCCACTAAGTCTTTCCTGTTTCCTATTAGTACTTGAGCGAATCTCTTAAACTGGCTTCACATTATCAAAAACAAAAATGATGCTTTTGCATTTCTTTGATGAGTTCATTTTTAAAGTTTCATCAATTGTAGTTGAATAAGCTGTCAAATTTTTAAAATACATAAATATGTACGTTACAGTCATCATAAAAATAGATCTGGAACTAGCTCACGGTAGAAAGACGGGAGCTCAGGAAAATTGCTCCGAGAAAGACAACACAGCTGATAGTTAACTAAAGGAAGAATGAGCACAGGTCTTGTGATATTTCCATAGGACTCTTGACTGAGTATGTGTCCTGTGCACAGTGGGGGTAGTCTTACCCACGTGCATCACCAGCATCTTATGTGGATAAGACATACATTAGCCAATGGTAGGAAAAGCACAGAACAGCCATAGCCGGTAAGGAGAGAACAGCTGTGAGAGTGGCCACTGCTGGGAGATCGTGGAAACAGGATTGAGGTCAGTGGGACAGGCCCTTGTGAACAGGAGTCTTCCCAGGTAGCAGCATTATATATTCCTATCAAGTCTCACAACCTTAGAGCTGGAAAGAAATCCTTACCCAAATCCTCATTTTACAGAGATAGATTGAATGACATCATGGTTACTTAGCAACAAATATGCTATTCACATGCAGGTACCTAAAGCGCACTCAGTGTAGATTTTCTGGTTGTGTCAGAATAACAATTTAGATGATCTCAGAGCAGTGGAGAAAAATTGATTCTATTTTTAAATGGAGTAAAATGCTAATCTAGGTTGTTATAGAAATTTCTGGAATCTAGATTTTGGTGGGGGTATCTAATATGTTAGCCATTGGATTCTTGTTGCTAGTATAATTTGAAAAGGGATACACTTCCTCTCATTCACTTAAGCATTCATTACCATCACGTGGCTCATGAAAGGCAAATAGGACAGTATAGATTATAGAATTTGCCATCAATGCAGAAAGTACTGCTGGGTAGTAGTGATCGGGATTCTAGGGCCTGTCCACTCTCAAAACCATAAGCATCGCTAGTTTCCCACCCCCAACCACATTACTGACCTAAGTTAAAACACTATTAGACTTTCTCAGACTTGCTGACCCAATGTTAAAAGTCATAATTGGGAAGCTAAGTTAGAACTCCACAGAAGAAAGCAAGCCCAGTAAGATCCCAAAAAGGTTGCTGCTGTCACAGCTACAGTGACAGAGAGAGGATGAAGGGAGATAAGATGTAGCATTTAACATAGTAAATTGCTTCCTGACAAGTGTGAAGACCTGAGTTCAAATCCCCAGAACTCATGTAAAGGCAGACATGTTATCACACTTTTCTAACCCCAGCAATTCTACGGGAAAATGGAAGGCAGAGTTAGGCTCACCCATGGATGCACCAGCTAGGCATGGCATACACAGGTGAAAAAACACCTCTATGTGGGGGTTGTCTAGGGTGGTATTTTGTGTCTATGTCAAAGAAGAATAGCAATATGATTCGGTCACTGACTTTCTAGTTCCTCCATAACTGTCTTGATTTTTTATTTCAGATCAATGGTGGAGAGAAGCGGCCTGCCTCTGATATGGGGAAAAAGCCAAAAACTCCCAAAAAAAAGAAGAAGAAGGACCCTAATGAGCCCCAGAAGCCCGTGTCTGCCTACGCTTTGTTCTTTCGAGATACTCAGGCTGCCATCAAGGGCCAAAATCCGAATGCTACTTTTGGTGAAGTCTCTAAGATTGTGGCTTCCATGTGGGATGGCCTCGGAGAAGAGCAGAAACAGGTGAGAAGGCTTTAAAATGGATGGCATCAGCTTGATCACAGACAGTGTGTACAGGCTTCGAAAAGAGCTTCGGAAAGCATTAGGGAAAGTAGCCAGATGCCATAACTATGACTTAGACAGTGTCCCTACCTAAACCAGACTTTAACATAAGGCCCTTAATCATGCACTCCCTTTATGCTCTCCAACAAGTAGCGGATTAACTCCCTTGTTTCAAGGTTTATTCAGCGTAGCCACGTTTGGAAAGACTTCCATTTACCCCAGCCAGGATTACCTCACTTCCTATTGTTGACAGCGTGTGCATAGCGATTAAAAGTCCCCCTTGGAAATCACCCATGCCTCTCGTCAGCACTCACTGTTTACCCTGTTGTCAGCTAACTCTCTTTCTGCTCCTTGCAAAACAAACCTCAAATCTAAGAGCTTCTCTCCTTGGCCCTTGCCTGAAGACCACCGGGATGTGTAATTTAGCCCATGTTTCCAGGCTGTGTTCAGTGGGAACAGATTGCCGGCTTCCCTTTCTCTCCTTATGCATGGCCGTGGTGTGAGGGAGGGCCACGCTTAGGGAAGGGCACTGAGATACACCAGCAGTGCCACGAGTCACCTGGGAGATCGTGAAGAGGGTGAGGAGTAAAATTTCAGAAAATAGCTGGAGCTTGCCCACATGAAGAAACAATACCAATCCTGTGTCTAACTTAGAGGCTAGATGGTCGTTGTCAAAATGTAGGATTATTGCCACAAATATTAAATATGCGTGATAATGAATAAAATTGTCAAAATGACAAAATAAGCACAGCAATTGTGAAATAAAACAAAGTGCACTGATCAAGTATTAGGGTCACGTTTGATTCTTGATAGAAATATTTACTGCTCTGCCCCATATCCGGGGAGTGTACTTAAAATCACGAGTGAGGTATGTGCTGCGTCAGGGTGAAGGTCAGAGTTCAAACCACATAAAGAACAGAACCCCTCTAAAGCCAGAGATGGTGTCACGTTCATGTCCTAGCACTTCTAAGGTAAGATGGAGGGAGATGGGAACCTAACGCTTCTGCGGTAATGTGGAGACAGAGATGGGGATATATATCCCGGGAAGCCCATGGGCCAGCTAGCCTGGCATTCAGAGCAGAGAACAACAGGAGACCCTGCCGCAAGCAACATGGAAGGCCATGGCCAGCACCTAAGGTGGTCCTGTGACTGCTACACATGTGCCTTGGCATGCACAGGACCATACATAGCCAATCTCTCCCTCCCTCCGTCTGTCTGTCTGTCTGTCTATCCATCTATCTATCTATCTATCTGTCATCTCACGCACACATGCACACACACAGTGGAGAGTAGATTGGGACCTTAAAAAAAGAAAACCATAGGTTCTCAAGGAATCTTAGTTTATGTCAATATATATGCTCTAAGTAGGATTTATACTGTTAAAAGATGTTTGGATTATTTCCTTTGTTCTACTCAGCACTCACAGGTCTATGATGAATTGTCCACAATCTATGAGATAGAATGAAGTAGCAATAAGTTCATTCACTCATCTAACCAATTTTTGAGCATCTGTTTGCCAAGCACTGTCTAGAGCGGTAGATTTGGCAATAAGCAAGACAACTGGGTCTCCACTGTGCGCTTGATCTCTCTACACTTACATAGCTGGGACTTAGCCACAGTGAGGAGACCTTGCCATTTAACTCACAGTTCTCCCCCTGACAAACTCTCAGCGGCAGTGATGGTCGCCACGATAATACCAGATGCCAAGAAACGGAACATATCCTCCCATCCCCCGACACCTCTAACTACTGGAAGTTACCCTTCATGATCTGGAATTTCCACACATTTTCTTATGTCTTCAAGGTTGCCAGGCAGAGGGAATGCCAACAAAACCACCTCTGCAGAGTACAGGGTGCTAAGAGCCACCTGTAATGATAGTGAACATACCGTGAGAACTCAGTGTACTTGATTAGTATCGCAACTTGACTGGTACTGAGCAGGTAACATTGTAGTGTCTACTTCTAATTGAATCCTAATATGATTATTTCAGAATTCTAGAGTCAGTTTCTAGATGGTTCCTAACTCAGATCAATTATCTCCCATACTCCCTGATCTTAGATGAGGTTTCCAAATGGGGGTGGAACTGTAAAGATGGCTTCCCTCCAGTTAGTAGGGAATTCTTGAATGACAGTCAAAGTCCACATGGATGAGAGAGAGCCCAGTCCTTTTCCCTGTTCTCCGAACAATGTCACATCCATGCCTACCTATTCTGCTCTTCTGCTAATCCTCCATGTACTCTTGGAAATGTCCTGAGCATCCCCCGTTGCCCTCTTCCACTCGAAGATGAAATTTCCTGGAGGAAGCTCCAGAAAGTGCCTTCTCCCCAGGGACTGTGCACCACAACTCTTGTTCATCAGAAGGTAGACATGGTTCCCCTTTGTTCTGCCTTGCCTTCTGCTCCTTCAGAAACATCCCTTTCTCAGGCTAACATCTAGTCTCCGTGGTCCCAGTTGGCCCAAGACTTTCCTACGTTCAAACCCAGGGTTTTCAAGAGAGTTATAAAGACTTTTCATAACTACGAGCTGTCCTTTGCATTTCCAATATAAAAATAACTATCTGTACTCTTCTTTCTGGTGGAGAAAAATAATAATCTTCATACAATCAAAACCAGATAATTCCAAAAGACAGCAAGGGTAAAGAGCCAAGTTTCATCCACTGATTGCACTACAGTGATGATTTGTACTTTTAATATAACAAGAGGAGAATATTAAAATCTTTCAACATTCTTTTTGCCTAGCTGTATAAGATTAATTGTGTGTGTGCAGAGGGAGTGATTACATATATATATATATATATGCATATGAGTTATATATGCATATGAGAGAGATTATATATATGCATATGAGAGCTTATATATATATATATGCATATGAGAGTGAGAGGAGAGAGGTTGGAATGCTATTATCCACTGTCATTTTAAAAGGGGACATTAGTCCCATCCCTGACTCTAGGTTTCAGGGTAGATATGATTACAGTTACAATGTAATAGTCAAGACTTCTTAATCAAACACCTACAATGTCAAGACATCTTCCCTTCTCTTTTACATTTTACTTCTCAATAAGTAACTCAAAATGAGTCTTCCCCTGAGTTCTCGCGTGTGGAGGTAGTTAAGGTTTATGGAGGGGTGTTGGAAGGCAAATGCATTTGGTAGATAAAGAACAGACTCATATAATAGTTAGACAATACAATTCATATCCCAGAATCAAAATCTGCTGACTGAAACTGGTTTATTCCAAGATTGTCTAAGAAAATACTTCTACTGATGTTTCTTGAAAGATGTATTTTAAATTTTGAGTACTTTTTTGAGAGTTACCCAAACAAGGTGTTGTGAGCAATTTAGGTTGCCCCGAGATGGTCTGTGGCCATGCCTGATGTTCCCTGTTGATGCCTCAGGGATCTGGGAGCACTGATTCTTTCCATCTAAAGATGCTCTGACTTAATAAAGACACAGGCTGCACATTACTCTCTCTGCGTTTCTCACACACAGGGCACAGGCCCATGGCTGCACTCAGACCATTGGTGTCCTCTGGTCCAGCCACCGCTCTGCTGCACTGTGGCTGACTGTCACCAACTGCTTGCAGGAGATGCTCTTGAGGCAAATGTGCCTGCCTAAAAGACACTTTGGAGATCCAAACACTGTCAAAATTATCCCAGGATGTTATATCTGCTGCGTTACCACCCATTCGTTCCCTGTATTGTGCCAACACTCTATAATATCTGCTTCAAACTTAAAGGAACTGTACTTAACTCTCGTTTAATATTCAGATCTGGGGAGCCTACCTACTGTTCCATATTTTTAAAGGAACACTCCTCGATTAGTTTGGACAAGCCCACAGGATGGTTTTGCATTGTGTTGGCAGTTTGGCTAGGAGGTGGGGCTCTCGTGTGCTATAGTGAGTTGGAAATCCTGTTGTCAAAATAGCCCACAGCTGTGAACGGCTACAGCTAGAAACACAAGCTGGAAGAAATGGGCAGGGTTACCAATGACTTATTGGGGACTCAGAAAATTACAATATTTAAGGGAAAACATCATTAGTGAGATTAGAGTTGAATAGTTTTCTGCCTACCAGTAGGAGCACGCCTAATAGAGCTCTCTGCTTCCATGGCATGCCTGCTCAGTGTGGCGCCCAGGCAAAGTGGAAACCCAGCACAGAGAGCAGGTCTTTAGCTTCTAGACTCCATGCTGAGTGAGAAACTGTGTGTATGCTGGTTCCACAAATACTCTTTCAAGGAGGAGAAATCCAAGGGAAGTGATAACAATGCTCAAGAAACGCAAAATCTCCTTTATGGATCTTTCCCTCCAAAGACACTGAAAACACACCCCATCTCAGAGATGGCTCCATTTGAATGCTTGAGAAGACAATGCAGAATCTGGAATGCAGAGAGAAATTGTGTGCTTGGGATTCCAACGGGAGGGTTTTAAATGCTAATGACTCAGAAGACAATGAAGAACCCATCTCAGAAGCTTACCAAGTTGTTGAAAAGACACCAGATGGAGAGGAGGGGGAAAAACACGAGGATGGTCGTGATGCCAGCTTTGGCTACTTATCTTCTTCCCCTGACTGGCCCTGCAGAACAAGGAAGATAAGTTAACCATACCATCCTCCTGCATCGTGGTCTCGGGGTTTCAGCAACCCGTGCCATCTTGTTTATAAAGTTCTGTCTAAATTTCTCCTTGCTCTGTGACTTTGAAACGCTCTGATTCCGGTCACTGGTGGTATAGGACCTGAGCATATAATGGCGATATAAGACAATTCCAAGGCTGTAAAGCAAAGAGGCTGGTCAGCTTTCCACAGAACGTGTTGGCCCAGAGAGCCGTAAAGGGTTCTGGAGTTCCTTTTAGTCATGGAAAGTCACCTTAAATCAGAACCAGATGTAAATGACTAAATGAACCTTAAGTTCCTAATTGGAGACACAGTCGGGCTGTAAGACATTTAGCAAATTACAAACAAAATGTTCTTGTTTACATTACGTTAAATGGCTTTAAAGCTGCAGCCAAGAGCTAAATAAACTCGCTGTTGTGCTAAAAAAAAAAAAAAAAAAAAAAAAAAAGGAGTGGAAAGCCTACTCGGGTTTGGCGTGTTCAGAAGAAACCGCAGCCCACGGTGCCCAGAGAGTGGGTTTTTGTAAATGCTAGTCCTGTCGTTGAAGAAGAGAGTGGATTTACCTCGTGAGGCTTAGCCTAATGAGCAGATATCACTTGCAGGGAGCGCGTTTGAATCCTGTAGCATATGCCTTCTTTCAGGATGCATAATTCATATCCAAGGATATTAGCCGCAGCAGTTCAGCTCATAGCAGCACCTCATTATTTTATCTCTCAGTATTTATTCCTATGTTTGACGCCTCATGAAATTACTGTTAATGTGTTTATATAAGGGCAGATCTGACACAAGTGGGAGGAAAGTAATTTCCTCCTCCTTCTTCCTGCTGCTGTGTCTTCTTCCCGAGTAGAAGGGGCAAGTGTAAATAGTTAATTTGCTTCAATTATGAGCCTGTCCTGCTAAATTAGAAGCAGCAGGGATATGAAGAGCCAGAATTATACTTAGGAAGCTGCTGATAAGTCCTCGGAGCCCGCGAATCAAATCATTTACTCCTCGTTGCTGCTCAGACACCCACTACATAAAGGCGGCTCTGGTGTTTGCCCCTCATCTTAGGACGAAATGTGGATTTTATGTCAACTATACTTAAGGTTAACCAAAGTCCTGCCACACTATAGCACCGGCACTGTATAAGTTTATCTTAGTAATTTATTCATAAGCATGTCATTTCTCCCAGCCTCTAAAAGATGAAGCATAAGGCATACGTAGGTAGAGCAATTGTTCATTCAGAAGCCTCAGCTCTTTACCCAAGTACACAGGGCAGCACTTAATACACACCGCACACACACACACACACACACACACACACACATGCACACACACATTCACAGAGGAAGAGAACATAGGAGTTAGAGGAGATATGGACGGGTAGATATGATTAAAATACATTTCACTCCTATATGATAGTCTCAGAACAAAACAACAAAACTATAAAAAAATAATTATTCATGAAAAATTTATAATATTCAAATGATATATGAAGGAAATCTTAATTAGCAAAAATAATAAAGACCACAGCCTGTAAGCAATATTTATATTCATAGAAATTTGCAAGTGAGCAATTAGATTATAACTTGAGCTTCGAAAGCCAAGTATTTCTATATACATGTACATGCTGGCACACTAATAAGAAAATGCCACAGCATCGTAGGAATAAACAGGAGTGATTCAGGTGTGCGGATATTTATATACTACACGCAGTGGGAGCGGATAATTCATTTGAAAGTTTCCATAGCTTTACTGAGAAGATAACTCCAATATGATATTAATTCCATTCAAGTTTGCTACAACCTACCACTTGTTCATATGTTCGAGGTAGGTTACATGTCTATCAACTTCTCTGTTTCCATTGATGTATGTTTTAATTTTGAAGATACCATTTAGTGGTTTATCCTTAGCATCCTTGCTAATGCTGACTCAGAAAATGTGAAACCCCATTGCAGGGACTTTTATTCACTAGGGATTGTCATGGGAGGGCTTGACACTACCGCTGTCAATATGAGCTCTGTGGTCAACAGTGACTGTGTGTAATTACAGCCTGCTACCATTGCAATATTTTATGTAAGTGTCAACACCATAACGGCCTCGCCTGCCAACACATTTCTCAGAATCCTCCCGATCACTTGGTGATGTCTGACTGTGTTTCCTGAGCACCTATTATGCTCAGGTACTGCCCAGCATGCTGGACTCCTACCATGAGGAAGAGATCCATCCACCCTGTAGTTTCTATTTTCAGGAGGCTCCTAAAGTTATTTCCACAGCTAGGGGGAGACAGTGAGCAAACACAGATGACTGGCTCCAGATTGCTTTGATTTGCTCCTGATTCTGCCCTGTTTCATTGGTGTGTATTTGTGTGTGTGTGTGGTGTAAGTGTGTGAGTTTGTGTGGGGTATGTGAGTGCGTGAGTGTGTGTGTGTGGTGTGAGTGTGTGGTGTGTGTGTGTGTGTGTGAGTGTGTGTGTGGTGAGTGAGTGCGCGAGTGTGTGTGTGTGGTATAAGTGTGTGAGTTTGTGTGGGGTATGTGAGTGCGTGAGTGTGTGTGTGTNTGCGCGAGTGTGTGTGGGGGGTGTAAGTGTGTGAGTTTGTGTGGGGTATGTGAGTGTGTGAGTGTGTGTGTGGTGTGTGTGGTGTGTGTGGTGTGTGTGTGTGTGAGTGTGTGTGGTGAGTACGCGAGTGTGTGTGTGGTATAAGTGTGTGAGTTTGTGTGGGGTATGTGAGTGCGTGAGTGTGTGTGTGGTGTGAGTGTGTGGTGTGTGTGTGTGTGTAAGTGTGTGTGTTTCCTGTTCTGTAAAATGGGTATAATAATACCAAGGCAACATTCTTGTTGGAGGAACTAAGGATACATAAAAGAAAGTGCATGCTGACAACTAGAAACACATAGCCAAAGAATAATTTCAATGTTCTTTTGTTTTGTGCCCTACATGCTTCACAATGCGTTAGGCACACAGGAGCCAGCCTTCTGGTTAAGATCGAACAACATGATATTCAGCTAGTCATCTCCATTTAATATATCAGCAGATACGTTTTATAGCCATCCATAAAGCCAAGCTGCCTGTTTCTGGCCTCTAGCAGAAAGGGATCGGTGGCACCGTGACCAAGTGTATCAGACAGTCTTCAGAAGGAACCAGCAGCAATATTTTTGACACATCCTGTGATGTTTTCAATCCTCTGAACACTATCTTATGAAGTCTTTCCAGTTAAGATATCCTTAAGAAAATGTAAGCAAGTTAGACAAGATGGATAGGTCCCCGTATTGAAGGCCACGCTGTGTGTAAAATACGGATGCCTGTCTCTGACTGACCTAAATAACGACATCGCTGAAAGCTGGTATACACATGAAGTTTCTAAAGATGTGTCTCTGGGAGGGTGACGAAGTTATTCTTATTCATACATAATTCTGTTGCTAAGCATTTTCTATAAATATGAAATGGCAATGTTGTCAGGGGAGGCATTTGCACTTATCCTAAAAGGAAAACACCTTGTCAGTTTTTAAATGGGGTTTGAATAGAATTCAAAGTCAGAAGGATTTTCCACCTTTTCTTCTTATGACTGTAGCGACTGTTGAAGTCAACTGGCTGGAGATTATGAGGACGAGCCAGAAGGAAGGGAAGGAAGAGGGAATTAGCTGGTATTTATAAGACTTTGGTTTTCTCCATTAGCTGGGTGGATTGTTTGTGGAAGAAGAATGCAAGAGGGAACGAACAGAGTGCCTCAGAATTTTCTCCTGTCTAAGTGTGTCATACTCACTGGCATTGAACTGCTGATTTTAATTAGGGATTATCAGCCTATAAAAACCCATGTACTGAGAGGTATTTAGAGTGTCCAGTGAATCACGGGATCATATGAACAGGACGTGTTCTCCAGGACTGCCATCTGATGTCTATCTATGTGTGTTTCGGGTGAGCTGTTATATATGTTTTAGTTTAACCAACTAGATGCAATCCTTAGATAGGAAATGGTGGCTTTCTTGGAATAACAAACCACAGCACATGAGTACGTTAAGGCAGGATGGATTCAAACATGTTTGGATGGGCTGGGGAAATGATAAATGCTGTATTATGATTTTTAAATCCACTTCTGGCCAACTTTGGACTTTATTTCAAACAGCTGTGGCCCATTTGGAAGCCAGTTTGCAGCTCGGCAGAACACTAATATTTACTGTAGGAATCACATACCTTTAAAATATTTGTCTTTTCCTGAGAGAAACTATGGCTTTTCCAAACTTAACTTTGACATAAATCAGATCCATCCTCGCAGGTCGGGCCTATGCGCTTGATCACGGAGGTGATTGCTCACCGCCGAATACAATCCCCCAACCCCTTTGGTTTCTGCAAATGAAGGGCTTTCTCCATCCATAACGTGAAGTTTTGAAACATCTTTTAGGAATCGTTTTTTTAGCCAGTTATCTTGACACTTCTGCTCTAACGTAAGAATTTCCCCTATTTCCTTTACGTATGAAATCCTTACGTATGACTGTCATTGTCTCGTGGTTGAAGTCTTTGGACATTTCCATTACTACTGGACCCAAACAGCACCCCAGCCCCATGTTAGAGAGCCGTGCTAGTGAGGCGCACACAGCATGTAGTGTTGGAACCGTTAAGCAATTCTCAAAGGTGGAAGGTCTAATTATTGCTGGTAGACAACCTCAGATTTTCACTCTGATCTGGGTTACCCTCCTTTAAATACAGTTATAGAACTGTACCTCCTGAAATGACCCCCCTTGGATTCTCCCACTGAACGTCTGCAGCTGTTTGGGAGCCTGTGGACCCATCAATCCCCGTAATGTGAAGTGATGGGCTTACGCAGCCCTAAAGTGGTGTTTGGGCACTTACACAGTGATCCCAACGTAGCCGATCATCAATAGCCAATGGGGAGCCATTTGTGAAACAGGGATCTCTGAATGCTAGTCAGGTATCCCATAACAGCATCGATCCTGGGTGGAACCACGCCGTACGACCACGCCGTACGTTCAGCCTGCGGTGGGGGAGTTACTCGCCTCTCTTTCCAAGTTGTTAATCAGCACATTGCAGGAAGTGTTAAGGCTTTGTGTGATGCTAGTCGCCAGCAGCCCCACCAAGGGTAACAGCATGGTCACACTGTTGCAGGTCCAGGAGACGCCAAGAAGAGACAGGAAGTGCTAGAATCATGCCGTCTTACCTTTCCTACTTCGGAAACAATACTTTGGGGAAAGCTAGAAAGCAGCATAGATTATAATTCTCTCTAAAAGAAAAATGAATGCTAACCAGCTAATGTGACACACGCCATTGCATGTTAATCAAAATCATGATATAATTACTTAGGACACTTGGAGGTGTCAAAGTTTTATTTACTAAATATTTTCCTCAAAGTCCTTAGACTTTCTAAGATGTCTGTGTGTGGAGGAGAAAATACCTCTCAAAAACATTGTGTATGTGTACATGCGTGTACACGTGTATGTATGTGTGTGATGCATGCATGCACATGAGTGCATAGGGACATATATCCTTAGGCATGCATGCACATGAGCCTGTAGGCACATATGCCCCTATGGATAACATGCAGAAATTACAAGTGACTCTGGGTCTCTCCCTCTCTTGTTCTCTACCCTGTTGCCTTGAGACAAGGTCTCCTTCTGAACAGGAAGTTTGCCATTTAGGCTAGGCCTGCTACCCAGCAGGCTCTTCTCTCAAGATCTCCCTGTCTCTACCCTGCGTGCGATGCTGGGGTCACAGGCATGTGCAGCCATGCTGAGAAATTGACATGGTTCCTGGGGATTCCAAATCAAGCCCTCATTCTTGTAGGCAAGCACTCTTCGAACTGACCGGCCACTCCAGCCCCCTCAGAACCACTTTAAGGTAAAGAAGAGTAAGCAGTGTGCGTAAAGCCGTTAGTTACAAATTATGTCATGGAGAAATGGGCTGAAGGAAACACTAGTAAGAGAAATCTAATCAGAAGCGCTCCGTTCCTAAATGTGGCTGGACCGAGTAAGGTCATATTGTTCAAATTCTTGACTCTAGCGGTCATTTATATTCATGTAAGAATTTCCACAGAAGATTCTGGATTTAGATTCTGCAATGGTTGTGAATCAATGGCAGTCCTATGCTTTAATCAAAAAAAAAATTAACTTTTTTATTATGAACAATAAGAAAAGTCCTACACAGGATTTCTAACTCTGTTTGGTTTCTTATTCTAGTAAAGATGGGAGGATGATCAAATGATCATTTGCACTGATTAATGCGCCTTTGTTTTAGTTTGCTCTTCTGTACAAAATTATAGTTGTGAAACTCAAAACTGCGGCCTCCCTAAAGGGGAGTAATAGCATTCATTTCATAGGTCCTGTTACAGTTCCACTGCGAGTGAAGTTATTTGTTTACCTGGACAAAATGTTCCGCTGGAGTTAAAATATTCATGAGCAAGTAATAGTTCTCACATCTTACATTTCAGAGTCTGGGCACAGCAAACCTCTGTCTCTAGAAAGTAAAGATCGCCCTCTACTGCTGGCTGCTTGGCCTTAGACACAATCCTTGACACAACCCTTATTTACTTCCCCCAACAGATTCTCCACTTCCCAACATCAACCTCAGTCTGGTTAATATTCACAGTAGGGGATGCATTCCCAGCTCCACAGTAAATTTTAAAGAGCATCTTGTTCATCTGAACTGGTTTTAGAAGACTGCAGAACTTTGGAACCTTGAAAACAGCCTCAAGGAGGAAGATGAAGCCCTCTGTACCCCGGCATGGCCTCTGTTTAATCTGTGCAAGTGACCCCCAGCACACAGGAGCTGGTCACTTCCCAGGTCTCAGTTTCCGCTTTTTATTTGGTTGCCAAGCCTCCGTGAGGGTCTGTTCATTGCGGACAACTCTTACGAGGTCCCCATAGCTGTCATTGTGTTTCTGTAAGAAAGTCCATGACGCGCAGATCACGTGGCGTGGCGGGTTACATCCTGTCCTTAGCCAGCCATCATTCCCATCTTAGCCCCATTGTACTCTTTCCTGCCGCTCCTGACTCCCAAATCCTTGGAAATATAACTTGGAGGCTCTTAAAACTGTGATGAACCCGCAACTGCCAATACCTGTGCGTTGATTTCCATACTGAATACGTCCTTGAATCCCATTTTGGTTTTGTGTTTGGCACGGAGCGCAAACGTTAGAATATTACTATGCTGTTGAATTACTGCCTGCTGTATAAATATGAATGTCTTATTCCTGGGTGAAGCTTCATCACTGCTGCCATTTATTTCCACGCTCACCAAGCCTTTCATGCATATTCTGAAAAATGCAAAATTTTACAATTGCTGCCTCTTTTCTTACAGAGTCTGTTTTCCTTCTTCTTTCAGCCCTGTTTCAGGAAGAAAACACCTCTTTGGGAGCCGTATATTATTATAAAATTATCTCTATGGGTGTACAATTGCCGTTCTGCCTCGTCCATCCCTCGAAACAAAAGCAGACACACGGTCTAATTGAAGACTTTCTGTTGCTCTCACAGGTCTACAAGAAGAAAACTGAGGCGGCGAAGAAGGAGTACCTGAAGCAGCTAGCAGCTTACAGAGCCAGCCTCGTATCCAAGGTAACGTGCGATTGTGTGACACTGTGACAGACTATGGCCATCTCCATGCAGACTCTAATAGTCTCTTAAAAGCACAAACGATCGTGTTAGCATTTCCACACCATTTTCTTTGTTTAAAAAAAATTTTACATCCAAACAAACCTCTGTGCTGTGGAAATACGTGCATCCCCAGAAGACCAGAGCTATAGCTGGCCTATGTATGGTAGGTACCGTGTACCTGTGGATTGTTTTTGGTGCAGTTAAACACAGCACATTCTTCATCATAGCTGACCCAGTCTAACCAGTACCCTTCTTCCGCTGTGGGGACCATTTCTGAGGAGACGCCACCCACTTTCATGTCCAGTTTCTTTATATCAGCATCAGGATACAAAGTCCCATCATCCTGTTCCTCAATGAGTGTAAGGAAAAATGGGTGCTTCAGGATGTTTATGTGCTAGTCCTTGCTTTATTACAGGTGGTAGAGAGTTAACTCTGTTAGGTTTCATGTTACTAAAAACACACTTCCCTTCTCAGTAGGGTGACTACCGATCAACAGGGCTGCATCTAGAAGGGCTTGACATAGCAGCTTATCAAATTCAGATTGCTAGAATTTTGTTCACTGTGGCCATAGGCTCTGGACTGCATTGCGTTTGTCCACAGAAAAAGAAAGAAATGCTTTCTTTTTCTCATCCACAAATATCCATTTCTGTTCTGGCAACCATTCAGAAAGTACATACATAGGTTTTATCAGTCAAAATATACACTGAGCGCGATGACGCAGGGAGGAGAAGAGAAGGCAGATGGCAAATACAGGAGGACGTCAGCAGAGTGTAGCTATGCTCCAGCCTTTGCTGCACATGGAAGCAATGCTACTGCGGGAAGCTTGCTGTTTATGTTGTGAAATCAGATTCTTCCCTCTCACCATGGCATTCCAGTTCTAATTTGTCTAACTGCTTTTAAACGTGTTTGTATGTTCAGCTGAACTCCCAACTCAGTATACAGGCAGAATGCAGACAACGCCCCGAAAAGTTCCCGACAAAGGAAGCCCCCATCACATGTAGGATCCAGCTCACCCTTAGCCACACTGCCGTTAGCAAATTCATATGTCCCAAATGTAAGAGAATTTAGCTCGCGTGATTTTCCGTGAGAGAAAATCAACATGGGATGTATCAGTCCTGATGCAAAGCCTTCTGGCTCATGACATACAGGTTACTGCAGTAGTGCCGCCGTACTGACTAAACCTTCGCCTCCAAAGCATGCGTCACCACATTGGCTCTTAGCTGCAGCTTTCTTTCCTGTTCAGTCTCCAAGCTGCAACCCTCAGAACATGGCAATTTGTATAAATGCTGCAAATTGTCATTTCCACATTTAAGAAACCAAGCACATTTTTCTTACAGCTTATTCTGACATTTTTCTTCTCTTTAGCGGTAGGAATTTTTGCTGGAGCTGTTGAATCTCTGTGTATGGTTCTCGATGGTGTGTGTACAAATTGGAAGTTTCAATCAGACTCTGTGGGTCGAAGAGATGACCCTGAAATGCTGCTTGTGAGCAAGTATTTGCTACATAGCCTTCTCCACAACGACAGGAAATGCCCAGCCTGTCTCCCAGTGCATGCGGCACCGTGTATAGAAATCTAGTGTTTTTTCAGTTTAATTAGTGAGGCAAAGAAGGACCACTCAAATGGAAATATCAGCTTTTCCATGTTATGGTCTTGTACTAAGGTGGTTGCTACTTACTGGGTGAGAAAGAGGAACGCTAGCCTGCGGGCATAAAGTTCCAGCTAGCAGGATGAATTAGCTAAGCCAGTAATGGGCAGGACCTTTTGATCCGCTGAAAAAGCATGTGAAAGAGGTAGATGTGGTGTTAAGTGATCGCACCACAATAGAATATTTTTTTTAATTTAAGAATCAGCTTAGGTTTAGGATGTTGAGCGAGAGAAGTTCTTAGTAAATACAAATAATTCGTAATTACATTTTAATATCATTGTCAAGTATGCATAGGAGTGGCGAAAGAATTGTGTGTGGTTGGAAAGTTAGCTGAATCATTGTTCCGATTTGGTCACGAAGTTATCTTTTTATACAGATATTCTAAAGGTTGAAAAAATAATTTATTAATTTTAACTTAATTATTTAATTTTTAAAATATTTAATTATTTTTTTCTGTAGATCCATCCCATTACAAAGACAGAATTGTTGTAAACGTAAGCAAAAATACATTTGTCTATGTAGGCTTCTTAATTGAAGTAGGCTTCCTGAATCGCGTGAAGAAGACTCTGAGAGACTAGAGTCATTTTAGCTTAGGCAGCTTTGTTCACGATGGAAGGTCATACTGAATTGGGCTATTAAATACAGCTTAAGGAAATATACCTTTTCCATAGACTAAGAAATTCCTAGACACGAGCCTAAATCATTATGTTGAGAGCAATACAGAACTTTGAAGCAAAGAAAGTGGTTTCATTTCACCAGGATTTATATTTCCCCAATGAGTGTTGCATTCAAAAGAGTCACCTTGGGAGGCCAGAAGCTCATTTTTTTATTGCTCTCAGGGTTTAAGAGATGTTTTTGAAACTCCTGGGTAGATATGCAGTCAGAAGTTTATGAAGCTCTCTAGAAAATCAGTCTTGTTACATTATTTTCACACCTCATTCTTTTCTCCAAACATCACCGAGACAGAAGCCACAACTGTGGCTTCAACTCACTTTTTTAGCTAGTTCTAAAAACTGAATTCACCATCAAAAGACAAGAAAGCTGTGTGAGGATATGTGAAATTCCAGCAGAGAAGTCCCGAAACATTCCCCATGACAGCCGCAGTCCTGGATGAGAAGGCAGCTCAGAAGACAGCTCAGGAGAAAGCCTTTGGGAGCCTGTGTACTGATAGTAAAAGCAGTGCCTTCATTGCCTGGGGCCACCCATAAGTGTGACATTCTTATTTGTAGAAGCCATGTTAGGGTCTCTATTGCTTTGATGAAACACCATGACCAAGGAACTTGGAGAGGAAAGGATTTATTTGACTTACCTATCCATAGTCCTGGAGGCAGGAGCTGACAGAGGCCAGGGAGGAGTTTGGCTCACTGACTTGTTCTACATGGCTTGCTTAGCCTATTTTCTCATAGAACCCAGGACCAGCAGCCCAGGGGTGACACCACCCATAATGGACTGGGCCTCCCACATCAATCACTCATTAAAATGCCCTACATGCTGGCCTATCTTATAGAGGCATTTTCTCAACTGTGGCTTCTTTTTCTTTAAGTTGATGTAAAACTAGGCAGTACAAGGGGCAAGGGGCAAATCAGTGTGTGTGTGTGTGTGTGTGTGTGTGTGTGTGTGTGTGTATGTACATGTTTGCATGAAAGAGTTTATGCCACAGTGAGCCATGTGATGGGGACAATCTCATTGTGGGTCCCCACCCATGTTGTTGGAGACAGGCTGTCTTGTTCACTGTTGGGTGCTCCAGGCCCGTAAGCTTCTGGGATTCTCTTGTCTCTGTCCACCTCGCTGTAGCTTACAGCTGCTTACTACTGCTGCATCCACCGAGATTTCCTCCCAACCTTAAGAAGGAGGGTGTCAACGCTTAGGACTGAGAAAACCCTTCCTTTAAAAACATGTAGGACAGGACGGTAGCTAAGTAAGCTCTCTGAGGCTGTCATCCATAATAAAGAAACTCAAGGCCTGGTTTCAATTAAAGCAGGGTAAATTAGAAACAAAGCAATGTTTTCTTTTTTGGAGAATGAGATAAAGTCACAGAATTCAGAATGCAGTGCTGTGGAGGGCAACTGAGACAAACAGTAAGTGCGAATTTGCAAATGGGATGGATCGTTTTATGACTGGTAACATCAAATCTGAAGCTCTGAGCCAAAATTGTGATTTAAAGACGATAAAATCTCATGCTTCAGGGTATAAGTTAATCACCTGCAAGGGCCAGGAAGGATTTGCTTCCCAGAAGTAACAATGGACAGTAGAGGAGGTGCATAAATTTTGTTTAATTTTCAATGCATCAAGTATTGGTCAGTCCTGAAAACAAGAATCAAATTAGATAGACTATTAATTTGATTTGGTCCAGCAACTCTTATATTATTGCTTCCACTGAGTTTTATGTCTTGTATTTATACTTGGCTATTTTAAATAACAATTATTTTTTCAATCTTTCATTTTTATAGCGCACATCATGCCAGAATGGAGGCATTTATACACTCTGTAGCATCATCTTCATTATACAAAGTAAATGAGAATATAGTTCTCTTGAATAGTGATAACTTGCTTAATAAGAACTCTTCTTAAGCCATTTAGTGCTGGACCCTTTGTACGTTTTGCCCATATGAAAGAGAATCTTCATGATAAGACCCAAAAGGTCTCTATTGTTACTAGCTCTCTTTTTTCCCTAAAGATGCCAACCAGATCCCATGGTTCAAATTCCAAGAGGACAGAGAACATAGTTAGGAGCCAGTAGTGAATGACAGGCCAGACATGATGTGAGGTAGAGCCCTGACCTAGCACAATGGGGTCTTGTGTCCAGTCCCCAGCACTGAAGAAACAAATGCCTAAAGAACACATCTCTCCTCTAAAAATATCCAATGCCTTGGCTAACTTTCAGTTTATACTAATAACACCATGTTTCTCAGACACTCAAGATGAGTCATTGCAAAATGAAGAAAAGGCTGAAAGTAGAAACAAACCTAAGTTATTTAACACGTATGAGAGAGTCCTTCTGATTTCTAATTGGCAGGTATGGAGACCTTGTATGTAGTGCAGCTGATGTTCAGACTGTTGCATTACTTTTGCATTTTGATCGGAAGAACAGTGAAGGAATACTAAACATATGAATTGACTCGTTCCTTGGTCTCTTCCCTCAGAGAATGAAGAGCTAGGTGCTTCCTCAGGAGGCCATGCCAAAGGGTTAATCTTCAGTTCCTTTCAGCTTCCACTGAGAGGTCTGGTTTTTAAGTCAATTAACAGAATATTAGGTGTGGAAAAATTAGGGCAAGATTATATTAATTTGTGATGGCATCTCAAATATCAAAGAGAAATTATTTTTACCCATTTCATTAGGAGGGACAATTTATCACCAATTTATCAGCAACTCCTTTTCTAAAAATAAAGAAAAATCAAGTTCTGTGGTTCCTTTGAAGACATGCGAGTCTGATTTCCCATGAGTTTTGGAAGGCGTTTTACACCTCCTCTGTAGCCACTGCTCTCGCTGTCCTTGTTTTCTTTGTGAAAATACCTAGAGCCCAGGCTCTGTGCAAACACAAAGAGAAGAAGCTAAGCTTGTGATCAGTGGGAGAGCTGAACTGAACTGCTTGGAAAGCGAGATAACTTAGCGATAATGGTGCCCTCCTGCATCTTTTATCTGCCTCGGGATGACCAAAATAGTCCATCACAGCCGAGTGTTTAGGCAAAGGGAAAGGATTGAAATGTCATTACAGTGTGCTTTAGATTTCAGAGGAGTTGGAAACTCGGTGTTGTATAAGTTACGTTAAAAATAGCAGTAGAAGGATCCTTAGATAAGAGACACAAGAATAGTCATGGGTGTTGATTCTCATGAAAGTCCGTGAGGAAATTCACAAACATTCTGGGAGTAGCATCACGCTCAGAGACCTGTCTCCTAACGCTGCTTTCCTTTGTTCCCTCTGCAGAGCTACAGTGATCCTGTGGATGTGAAGACATCTCAGCCACCCCAGCTGGTCAACTCGAAGCCGTCGGTGTTCCACGGGCCCAGCCAGGCCCACTCAGCTCTGTACCTAAGTTCTCACTATCACCAACAACCAGGAATGAATCCTCACCTCGCCTCCATGCACCCAAGCCTCCCCAGGAACATAGCACCCAAGCCGAATAACCAAATGCCAGTGACTGTCTCCATAGCCAACATGGCTGTGTCCCCACCACCGCCCCTCCAAATCAGCCCGCCTCTTCACCAGCACCTCACCATGCAACAGCATCAGCCTCTTGCCATGCAGCAGCCCCTCGGGAGCCAGCTCCCCATGCAGGTCCAGTCTGCCTTACACTCGCCCACCATGCAACAAGTAAGTCTCTACGCTTGGGTTCTGTGCACCTCTGGAGGACTGGGGGCAGGGAGGGCTGTCTATCAAACCAAAGAGACAAGGGTAGTTGTTCTATTGAAATGGAGAGAGAACTGCGGGCATTTGACAGACTTACATCTGGAAAATGTCACTTATAAGTGGAGCGTGGTCAGAGTTACCATCCCAGGCACTGATAGCCCTACCTTTCAAATCACTGGTTTCTTTCCCAAGACATATTAACTTGGTGCTCCCTTGCTGCTGCCCCCTTTGTCTCTGGTTTCAGTTTCTTTAGTGATAGCGTGTGCTAAGATGCCATGTGTACCACGGATCTTGTTGAAACCGTCTGCAATTTCTTTTTAATGTCATTAGGAAATGGGGCTTTTTGACTAGGCCGACCCTTGAGTTCAATAATTAGTATGAAATAAAATCAGATTCAATACCAAATTTAGTAGAGCCCTAAAATGCTATGACCCAAACAGTAACTGGAGCTTCATTTTGAAATATACATAAGGAGCCTGTGGGGAGAAGGGTATTTTGCCAGCAAGTGACAGGCCCTGGGTTTAATCCCTAGCATTGCAAATGCAAGTGTGTAAGTGTGTGTGTGTGTGTGTGTGTGTGTGTGTGTGTGTGTGTGTATGTGCATGTGTTGGGGGAATCTGCACAATTTAGAAAGCAGGAGAGGTATCAGGATAATCTTGTTTAGTTTTTATTTGAAAACAAATTTTATTTTCATGCTTTTTTTTTCAGACATTGGTGCTCTTTCGTAATTTGAGAATTAGGAGCATCTATAAACTCAGTGGAACATAAAATATTCAAAACCCTGAAAGCTCACTTTAGAAAAAGGTTAAAATCTACCAATCATAGCCACCCTAACCACCGCCTTTACCATTCAATTATGCTTTTCCTAGAGTTATGAGTAAACACATAGGCACAGCCTCCTGCAAAATTCATATCTTGTTATGGTACATAGAATGCATGCTTGCCTGAACAGTAAGGAAAGGGGAGGCAGAAGGATGAGTCATGTTGAAGAAGTCTAAAATGTCTTGTATTATGATTATTATAGACAGGGTTTTTGAAAGCTGGCTACAGTAAACCCAGTACTTAGCACTTAAATTCTCAGAAAGCTCACAGTGTGGTTGCTAGTCCTGTCTTCATTTTATGGATAGATAAACTGAGGCTTGGCAGGTAAGAGTTTTGAACTCACAAAGTGAGAACTGGAATTCAAATGCAGATCCAATCAGAACTCAGAAGCATCATTCTGAACGTTCAGGACTCGCCTCTCAACCTCATTCTTTCTTGTAGATTATTAACAGATTTGTATCCGAAAGCCTGTGTTTTCAAAGACAGCTTTTAAATCTAAGTTACTTGTAAAAGCAAATTTTTATGAAACAAAAAAAAAAAGAATTCATCATCTGTCTTTCTTGATTCCTAAACCAAATATATGAGTAGCTAACTTTCTTACCTACACACCACAACCTGAGGCTGAAGCTGAATCACTTAGAAGGAAGACCACAGTGGTAACAGATCCCAGCCTCCAGCCCTGTCTCCAAGTGCTTTATGACCAAGACAAACTCATGGGGTAGAAGCCTCACCCTGTATGTACATCAGACATTACTCAGGGAAATGGACTTAACTGAATGCCTTTGTACTGTAGTGAGTCAATGGTTTCTGCTTGAAGAATAAGCAATCTGAGGGCTGTCACCTTCACTTGGGTGGGTTGACACCAGCTTGCAGGTGCTGTGGGCTCCAAGCACATGTTTTGATCAATATGCTATAGTTTATCTGCTTCTTCCCGAGGGAAAGAGGCCCCTAGGCAGAGGGACAGACCTATCCAGAAAGGGAACCTTTCCTAATTTGTCCACGCAGGAATGTCTCCTTCTTTTTCTTTTGTTGAAACCTTGGATAAGATAAGGGTCACCAGGAATAGATTTCTGCTATTTGAGAATTATAAAAGTTTACTTGTAAAACCTCAAGAGATATAGCTCACTAGACAGAATCTAAATGGTGGTGGAGTAACTCATGTTATCTTGAGCAAGGTATTTATCAAACTATAAGTCAGCTTTGTTAGTGTATCTCAAAAGGTGTCTGGGGTTAGAGCTCATAATAAAAGATAATGGCAGGAGCTCAAAATGAAAAAAATAGCTATAGAGATGGCATTGACTAAAATCATTTTCAACAATGTAGGCTGTTAGTAAAATAACTATGGAATAATAAACCTCTAAAAATTAAATGGTTAGTATGCTATACTTCTTGGAGAAATTGTAGTCTTAATTCCTTGAAAGTTAAAAAAAAATTATGATGATAAAAGTAATTTAAATAAGTCCTAACACATGTTGGGCACTGCGTGGACTCTTCTAGGAATCTGGAGAAAGAGACCCATGCTCCCTGAAATTGGAGCACGGGATGCGATAGCAGCAAGGTAAGGAGCGGCACTCCAAAAGCAAATAGACAGGAAGACACTGGCTTGAGGAGGAAGGCAGAGGACACTTTCACAGCCCTCTCAAGGGCTGCAGAGACCAAAGATGCAAAGAACAGCAAAGTTAAAACACACGGGGAGCGGGTAGTAAGGTTGTGAGGGAATTTCAGCAAAGACCAGTAACAGGAAAAATAGATTCCGGGAGATGAGAAAGATGGGTACAGTATCTGCATCTTAGACAGGTGCACAGAGCAAGGAGCCAACAGACAAGAGACACTGTCAGCTGACCATAAGCCAAGATGGAAGAGTTGGCCCCAACAGATTGGATGCAGTTTACTCTCAACAGCTTGTCGCGTCCACTATTCTCGTCATGAATGAGAGGTTAGCCTGTAGATTCAGGTTGACCTGCCTGACTCGTCACCCAATACACCTTCATCCTGAAGATGTTTGCTGCCTAGTATGTTGACCACCTTCTGGTCTAAGTACCGAAAAAGAGAAAGAGAGAAAAGACAGCTAATTGCTACGGCACATGTTTTAAAGATGGCCTCAGATTCCAGTTTTACTCTCGATAATTTATTATCCCTCTGAAAATGAGTGTTGCCAACTGTAACAATAACGACAAAATGATCGTTAGTTTGTGTACCAAAAGTGATAGTTCCATTGTTTTCTTAAAAATATCTTATACACTAAGCCCATGGACCTACTTTTTTTGTTTCCGTTTTCGTTCTGTCTCTCAGTGCACTTTTATTGTGGAATGAGGTCAAGAAAAAATCATTCATATCTGTCACTTTCCTTTATAACCTTAAGAAAAAAATCTTTGTAAGGTACCATAGACAGATTTTCAATTTCCTTCTGTAGTAAACAGCTGCTTTAGGATTTGGGTGTAATTTAAAGTTTTTTTTTTTTAAATCACATTGAGATTGATGAATAAATCAGTCATAAAGACAAAACATTGATGCCTGTTGAAAATACCTCTCCAGACAGGCAGGAAATGAAATTAGTTTGCAGCGTGGTGTGGCTATGAGGATCACTGCTTGGTGGTGCTACAGGCTTTTTTCAGACTTGCTGTGTAGCAAAGGAAAACTGTGAGGGTTACGGGAATCTAATTAAAGAGCAAATGTCCCTTCTGACATCAAATTCATCTTTATCATGTTTCCTATTTTTATTTCAATCTGGCACCAGAAAATGAAATTTAAAATTCCAGGCATGCTACAAAACAGTTGGTGATTTTTCTCCCCGGCATTAAAATGCAAAATATTCAGTCTCGTTTAATTAGACTGCTAAGCAAACATTTTTCAAAAAATTTTTCTCATCATTGTTGTTTCCTAGTTACATCCATAATGGGAGTGTACTTAGCTCAAGGGTTGACCTCAGCATCTCCTTCTGTGGTGTTCTGAGGCGTGTTTCCGTTTCTATCTTGAAAGCAAAATAACGTTAAATACTGTTACTTTGGCCCACACCTATATTTTTCTTGGTCCTTGGTTGTTCAGGCAACTATTTAAATGTAGATTTTGAGGGTAGCATAATTTTCCATGTTGGAACTTTGTAGATATCACATGGTTTTGTATTAAGCTAGTAATTTAAAAGATATTTTCCTTATATTCTGGCTCAGCCTGTGGAACTATTTCCACTGTGTGTATTGCTTCTCCTCGGGTCTGAACCTTCACCTAACTCAGGCTGTTTCCAGTTCCTTTTTGTTTTGATCCTTGTTTGCTTTTAGGTTGCATTTTGACAGCTGTGTAGAAAACCCAACAGACAACTTCACGCTACAAAGACAAATTAGCCCTGACATTTACATGTTCACTTTTGCCTTTCTTACAGTAGCATCAAATCGTCTTTATTTCTTGAAAAACACAATTTCATTGTTCTGCTGTTGTAGGCTGGGCCCTGAGAGGACCCAGTAAGCCCTGCAAACACTGATCACGGTCTTCCCCAGGCATCCTGGAGATGGGCTCCATGGTGATAGGAACCAGTAGAGGGTCTCTCAGAACCTTTCCCTGCTCTCCACCGAGCCTCACACTAGACACCAGGAAGAAAAAAAAAAACTGAGAAGGTGGGCAATAGGGCAGGACAAGAGAAATGAAGGTATTTCTTTTTTTTTTCTGGATAGAATATTTATTGTTACTATCTATTTTTTT